TTGAAGGCCTGGCACAGTGGGTCATGCTTGTAATCCCAGCACTTTGGGAGGCCATGGTGGGGGGCGGGGGGATCACCTGAGGTTGGGAGTTCGAGACCAGCCTGACCAACATGGAGAAACCCCCATCTCTACGAAAAATACAAAATTAGCTGGGACATGCCTGTTAATCTCAGCTACTTGGGAGGCCGAGGCAGGAAAATCGCTTGGACCTAGGAGGTGGAGGTTGCAGTGAGATGAGATTAGGCCTTTGCATTCCAGCCTGGGCAGCAAGAGCAAAACTCCATCTCAAAAAAACGAAACAAACAAAAAAAACTTTTGGGGCAAATGTATTTTACATACTCAATTATAAGTTACAGTAATTTTATTTTTAACCTTATGGCATTCTTTATTTTGGTTTTACATTTTCATATTCCTTAACTTCTTAGCATGAAAAATTTTAAAGCCTATGAATTAGCTGCAAAAACAGTACCACAAATACCTGTATTATACTCTTTACCTGGAGTCACTACTTGTTAACATTTGCTGCCTTTTTCTTCCCTCCCCTCCCTGCTGCTCATTCCCTCCCCTCCCCCACCGCTCATTCCCTCCCCTCCCCCACCGCTCATTCCTTCCCCTCCCCTCCCCTTCCCTTTTTCTCTTTTCTTTTCCCTCCCTTCCTCTCCTCCTTCCTCCCTTCCTTCCTTTCTCCCTGCCTCCCTCCTTCCTTTCCTCCCTCCATTCTTTCTTTCCTTTCTTTTTTTTTTTTGAGACGGAGTCTCGCACTGTCACCTGGGCTGGAGTGCAGTGGTGCGATCTCGGCTCACTGCAACCTCCACCTCCCAGGTTCAAGTGATTCTCCTGCCTCAGCCTTCTGTGTAGTTGGAATTACAGGCACCTGCCACCACACCCAGCTAATTTTTTTGTATTTTTAGTAGAGACAGGGTTTCACTATGTTGGCCAGGCTGGCTTTCTTTTTTTTTTTTTTTTTGATTAGAGACACTTGAGCCCAGTCTGGATCTAAACTCCAGGCTGAAGCTTCCTCCTGTCTCAGCCTCCGGAGTAGCTGGGATGACAGGTGTGAGCCCCCATGCCTGGCATTCCCTTATGTCTTTTTTTTTTTTTTTTTTTTTTTTTGAGGGACAGAGTCTCACTCTGTCGCCCCAGGGCTTGGAGTGCAGTGCCCAGATCTCACTCACTGCAAGCTCCGCCTCCTGGGATTTATGCCATTCTCCTGCTGCCTCAGGCCTCCCCCGTAGTAGCTAGTGGGACTACAGGCGGCCCACACCTCGACCGGCCAGATCTTTTTGTATTTTTATAGGTAGAGACGGGGTTTCACCGGGTTAGCCAGGATGGTCTCGATCTCCTGACCTCGTGATCCACCCCTCTCGGCCTCCCAAAGTGCTGGGATTACAGGCATGAGCCACCGCGCCCGGCCACATTCCCTTATTTCTTTTGCACAGGCATGAGCTTTCTCTCCATACACAGGTGCACACACTTACTTTACTGAACCATTAGAGAGTTGTAGACATCAGGTCATTTTACCCCTTCTTGTAAAAGGGCATTCTGTGTAGCTCTAATTGCCTTATCACACTCAGAAAACTTAGCACTGATATATCTACTATTATTAAGATACAATGTAGGCCAGGCGTGGTGGTTCATACCTGTAATTCCAGCACTTTGGGAGCTGAGATGGGCAGATCACTTGAGGTCAGGAGTTCGAGAGCAGTCTGGCCAATGTAGTGAAACCCCATCTCTACTAAAAATACAAAAATTAGCCAGGCGTGGTGGTGCAGGCCTGTAGTCCCAGCTACTCACCTGGGAGGCAGAGGTTTCAATGAGCCGAGATCGCGCCATTGCACTCCAGTCTGGGCAACAGAGCGAGACTTCGTCTCAAAAAAAAAAAAAAAAAAAAAAGATACAATGTAAGCTCACATTCCTTCAGTTGTCCTAATAGTGTTCTTTTTCCTCCCAATTCAGGATCCAGTGAAGAACTGCACATTGCATTTAGATGTCATGTTTCTTTAATTTCCTTTACTCTGGAAGTTTCCTTAGCTTCTTTTTGTGACATGGGCACCGTGACAAATGACATTGATATTTGAAAAGTCTAAATCTAACCCAGTTGTTTTGAAGATTGTTCCTCAATTTGGAATTCTCTGATTATATCCTCATGGATAGATTTGAATTAAACATCTTGGGGCTGGATTACTCTGAGGGATGTGTCTTTCTCATGCGTCGTATCATCATTGGTGCTGTGAAATTGGATAACTTGATTAAGTTGATGTCTGTCCGGTTTCACCGTATCCTGTTGCCAACAACCTGTCATTTAGTGGTGGTTACAGTAACTTCTCAATGATAAAAACTGTCTTAAAAAAAATTCCCCAATACATACAGCTCGTTTAGGACTTCATAAAAGGTAGATAAGGTACCTCTTGACCTTTTATTAAATAAAGAAAGGCCTAGCATACATTGGCATTTATTCTGAGAATATTTAGCGGGGTTTAAAATAATTATCTTCCTGATAAAAGAAAATCAATGAATAAATCAGCCAGAGTCTGCAAAATGCAGTACCTGGGTAAACATCGATTGTTCTCTTGATCCGAAAACACAGATTCATTAAAACTTATGTGAAAGAGAGTTTTCCTCCTTTATATTTGTTCTAGAAGAGGCAGAGGGTGTTCTTTGGATTCTTGCATTACAATATTGATTTGTTCAGTGGTGTAGTAACTTGGAATGGCCAAGGACAAATTTCCCAGAGCGTGGAATATTCTGAATGACAGAGAAGGGGCCATGATTTGGAAATGAAATTGTAACAGTGCACCGGGGATGTCTTAATACCTCTTATTTTGGAGAGCACAGGGAGTTAAGTTATAACTCAATTTCAAGCAAAGATAGGAGGAAGCCAGTGGGCTAATTTCCTGATTAAGTAGGCAAAGATGACATGTGGTTTGATTTGTCATTTTCAATTTTAAATGAACTGCATCACATGCATTAATTATGCATTGTCCTTCCTGTGTTAGGTTCCTTTCAAATATGATACTCTGTGACCTGAGTGTGTCTGTGGTCATTTGGGCAAAGCAGCACTTTTGTGAAATCGTAGCTTGCATCACTGGTAGCATTTGGATCACTGGTAGCATTTGGATCACTGGTAGCACAGAGCTGATTTGATTACAGTGCTGACATCACTGTGCTGATGACCTAAGGCCTAGGTCGAGCCCTGTGTGAACCACTGTTGGTTTTGCTTTATTTATTGGCTGGGAAATCACCTCTCTGTTTGGTCCGTGCTTTTGAAATCTTGGGTCATCATTTGCATCATCTCGCCACACTCCTGGTTTAAGAAAATACAGGTGTCTCTGTTGCACATTATGTCAAGTGCAGACCCCTCTACCTGATTTTTCAGGATTCTGCATTATGAATTTCCATTCATCCAGTCCAGTCTCATTTCCCACAATTCCCATCGTTACCTTCCACTTTGTTTAGGCTTCTTACTGTGTGACCTTGAGCAAGTTATTTAATTTCTGAACCTTGGCTTCCTCTCTATAGAGTAGGAATCATACGAATAGCTTCTACATCACAGGGTTTTTAATGAGAATTAACTGAGATAATATCTTACAAATAATAACCTTCCATTATGGAAATGTTAATACAAGTACCAAGAACTATTCTAAACTTTTAAAATTTGTTGTCTCACTTCATCATAACAGTTTAATGAGGTAGGAGGAGCTGGTGGTGGTGGTAGTTGCACAGGTAGTGGTAATGATAACGTTGGTGCTTATTGAGCACTTATTATGTTCCAGGTACTTTACATGTTTCCAGTGAACCCTATGAACAGTCTTACAGGGTCGATACTATAATTGCATTTCATAGATAGGAAATTTAAGCATCATGAGATGAAGTAACCTGCCGAGATTCACATAGCCAAAGAATTCAGGAGCCGGACTGAAATCCAGGCCACACTTTTAGATACTAGTTTCATCCCATTTTTATTTTAGAATGAAAACTTAGGGAGTAATTAACTTAACTAAAACTCTCACAGCATATAAATGACAGAGCTAGAATATGAACCCAAATCTGATTTCAAAACTATGTTCTTTGTCATACTCCACTGCCTCCAGACTGCTGAAAACAGTGCTTTCTGTTGTGCTATTGTAGAGTGGATTGATTGTGATTTAATATATGTAACATCGTTGTTTCTTCACTCAGGAAAGATGGCATATTGCCTGGATTAACTGTTACACAGGGAACCAGGCTTTTGGCCGCTGCTTGCCACCCTGACTCTGCCTGTTGAGTTGATGTAGGTGGTGAACACCCTTGGAGCACGGTGGATATTTGGCAGGATACTTGACCATGGCTGGAATTCCCAGTGGTGACATTAGTGTTAAGTGGCCCATTTCTGTTGATTCAGCAGGAGGACGTGGCTGCCCAGGATGTCAGTAGCTGATGGGAGGCAGATAGTAATGGGGAGAGGACATGGCTTTGTGATGGGACAGCACTTTGATCCCAAGTCTGTGGACTTAAGACATTTCTCAGTTTCAGTTTTAGGTTGTAGCCTCCAAATTCCAAAATTGGACTACTACATCTTGACAGGAATTCTTTTTTTTTTTTTTTTTTTTTGAGACGGAGTCTGTCTCTATCACCCAGGCTTGAGTGCAGTGGCGCGATCTTGGCTTACTGCAAGCTCCGTCTCCCGGGTTCATGCCATTCTCCTGCCTCAGCCTCCCGAGTAGCTTGGACTAAGGGCCCCTGCCACCATGCCTGGCTTATTTATTTATTTATTTATTTATTTATTTATTTATTTATTTTTATTTATAGTAGAGACGGGGTTTCACCATGGTCTTGATTAGCCAGGATGATCTTGATTTCCTGACCTGGTGATCCGCCTGCCTCGGCCTCTGAAGGTGCTGGGATTACAGGCATGAGCCACCGCGCCCGGCCCCCATCTTGACAGGAATTCTTTTACAGATATTTGATACGCAGAAAGGGGTGTGAGCGCAGACTGATGATAGCTTACTTTTCTTTTTCAGGAAGGATGCCAATTCTGCGCTTCTCAGTAACTACAAGGTAAATTGAACTGTTACATTTTCCTCTCTGATAATTTGCCCTTTGTAACTAAGATTGTTGAATTCATTTTGATTAGAAATGACTGAATTCAGGCCAGTTGCAATGGCTCACGCTTATAATCACAGTACTTTGGGAGGCCGAGGCAGGTGGATCATTTGAGGTCAGGAGTTCAAAACCAGCCTGGCCAACATGGTGAAACCCAATCTTTACTAAAAATACAAAAATTAGCCAGGTGGGGTGGCACGTGCCTGTAGTCCTGGCTCCTTGGGATCCCTGCTGAAGTAGGAGGATAACTTGAACCCAGGAAGTGGAGGTTGCAATGAGCCAAGATTGCACCACTACACTCCAGCCTGGGCAACGCAACCAGGCTCCGTCTCCATTAAAAAAAAAAAAAAAATTTATTTGAATTTTCCACTTTAAAACAAGACATGTGGCACCATCTGGTGGACCTTGGAATAGTCTAAACTTAATATGTTATACGTAGTACTTCAGGGAAGCTGGGGAAGACTCTAACTGAGAATAGGAAAATTTCAGTAAATCTCAAAGATTCTAGATAATCATTTGGGATGTAGTCATAGGATAGAAGCATCTATTTTAGAGCTGTTTCTGCACAATTTTACATGAAAATATTTATGCTTTTTCATAGTGATACCCTTGATATATTTATATATTCATAATGCTTTTATACATTGTTATTTTAATCTTCAAATGGTCTTTTGGGTATTAACATCATTATTTTGAAAGTGAGTTTAGTTGACTTACCTTTCTGAATAGTAGAAATTAACAAATTTATAATTTTTTGGGCTTAGGGTAGGGTTGCTTGGGAAAGGAAAAGAAGGAAAAAGGAAAAAGGTTGGTAAGAGAGGAGATATTCCAGCATTTTTGCCTCCTATTTGGCATTAGCAAAACCATCTGATAGGCTCGCTCCGGGTGTAGAAAGAACCATTTATACCTTGACTGTGAATTTTCCATGTGCCAGAGTCTAAACTCAGGAAGACTCAGAGGAGGTCTAGAAGGTAATAGGTTAAGTGCGGTGGCTCACGCCTGTAATCTCAGCATTTCGGAAGGCCAAGGAGAGTATTGCTTGAGGCTATGAGTTAGAGATCAGCCTGGGAAACATAGCAAGACCCCCTGCTCTTAAAAAATAAATTAGCTGGGTGTGGTAACAGACACCTACTATGGTCCTAGCTACTTGGAAGGCAGAGGGGAGGTTCCCTTGAGCCTAGGAGTTTGAGGTTACAGTGATCACCACTGTACTCCAGCCTAGGAGACAGCCTTTGAGACCCTGTGCCCCCCCCAAAAACAGCTCCCAGAGTTGAAGACAGCAAAAAGAAAGTAACCGTCCCCCCTCCGACATTCCCCCTAAAGAAGAGAAAGTAGTAGAATAAACAGAGAGTTGGCCATATTCTTTCCTCCCTAAAGGCTCAGTGTTAAGTGGTTGCAGCTTAGAACAGGAAGGAAATGGTTGAGTGGTTGTTGGCCAAGCCTTTGGCTTTTAGGAGCCTCCTTGTCCAGTTTGGACTTTGCTAGGTGTTTGGGTGTTTTATCCATTGGGAAAACATTGCTTTCATTGATCTCATGTCGCTATTTCTGAAAAGAACAGCAGACGAGAGGGGTTCCATTGTATCTAGTAATAGTGTGTGAGCTTGCATTTTCTTCACTTCTCTGATAGAATCTCTAAAACAGGAATGAGATTGAGATCCCCCCTGCCCCCAGCACTAATGCCTGTATGTGTTATCCTTGTGGGGAGAGTTTACTTCTAAAAATCCATAGCATTTTTTCTTCCCCTTTTTTTGGTAAACTCTGTTTTATCACTTACCTCAAAATTTTTCTTTTCCAGAAATAAATTATTATGTTAGATTTTTTTTGAGATGGAATCTCACTCTGTCGCCCAGGCTGGAGTGCAGTGGCATGATCTCGGCTCACTGCAAGCTCTGCCTCCCAGGTTCACGCCATTCTCCTGCCTCAGCCTCCCAAGTAGCTGGTACTACAGGCACCTGCCACCATGCCCGGCTAATTTTTTTTGTATTTTTAGTAGAGACGGGGTTTCCCTGTGTTAGCCAGGATGGTCTCGATATCCTGACCTCGTGATCCGCCTGCCTTGGCCTCCCAAAGTGCTGGGATTAAAGGTGTGAGCCACTGTGCCTGGCCTATGTTAGATTTTTATACTAGAGAAGCAGAATTCTTTTTTAACAAAATATTTGTTTTAAGAAAATTGGCTTTCAAATAGTCTATTTTTGAGATCAGAGGAGATTAGTGATGTGTATATTGATCGGAAATATTTGAATTTTTTTTTTTTTTTTGAGACGGAGTCTTGCTCTGTCGCCCAGACTGGAGTGCAGTGGCGCGATCTCAGCTCACTGCAACCTCTGCCTCCCGGGTTCGTGCCATTCTCCTGCCTCAGCCTCCTGAGTAGCTGGGACTACAGGTGCCCGCCACCAGGCCTGGCTAATTTTTTGTATTTTTAGTAGACACAGGGTTTCACCATGTTAGCTAGGATGGTCTTGATCTCCTGACCTCGGCCCTGACAAGGCCCGCCTCAGCCTCCCAAAGTGCTGGGATTACAGGCGTGAGCCACCGCGCCCGGACATATTTGAAATATTTTAAGTAATTAAATTTTAATTTTAAGTAAATTAATGAATTTGGATTATTTGGCTTATATAAAAGAGCATTTTTTTTTTTTATGTCATCTGCCTCTGGGACTTATATTTGCTCAAATACAAGAGTTGGAAGCTGGGTGATGGGCGGGTGAAAGGAAGTACTACACTTTCCTGTTTATCCTTCCAAACCACTGACCTTGGATAGATATATTTGTCAAATTTATTCATAAACATCCTTTGTGTATCTCCTCCTAGGTGTTTCAGTTACTAACTGATCTGAAAGAACAGCGTAAAGAAAGTGGAAAGAGGCCGGGCGCGGTGGGCTCAAGACTGTTTAATCCCGAACCTCATTGGGAAGGCGAGACGGCGGATCACGAGGGTCAGAGAGGATCGGCCATCCTAGCTAACCCGGTGAAACCCCGCTTCTACTAAAAAATACAAAAAACTAGCCAGGCGAGGTGGCGGCGCCTGTAGTCCCCAGCTACTGGGGGAGGCTGAGGTAGGAGAATGGCTTAACCCCAGGAGGCGGAGCTTGCAGTGAGCTGAGATCCGCCACTTGCACTCCAGCCTGGGCGACAAGAGCGAGACTCCGTCTCAAAAAAAAAGAAAGTGGAAAGATTAAACACAGCTCTGGACAACAGAACTTGAACACCATCACCTATGAAGTAAACCTGGGCTTCTGGCAGACCTACCTAAAGTACCATTGAGGGAGGTGAGTTTATTCTGCTAGATGACTGGCTGCTGAAATCAAGATCGCCTTTTATCTGATCTGAATAGTTATACTGTAAACCTGATTTTTATTCTGTTTATAAAAGTGGGAGGAGTTTGGTCAAGTGTAGAGTTTAGCCAGCTACAAAGTTAGAAGGAATAGTGTAAAAGATTGCCCTTACTTCTCCTTGAAAGGGGATCACAGCTCATTGCAGCTTCAACCTCCTAGGCTCAAGTGGTGCTCCCAGCTCAGCTTCCCAAGTAGTTGGGACTATGGGCAAGCACTGTCATGCCTGGCTAATTTTTTTTGTTGTTGTCCAGGGTGGTCTCGAACCCGTGGGCTCAAGCGATCTTATCACCGCATCTTTCCAAAGTGGTAGGGACTTAGACGCTTAAGGCTATTGTTTATTTTGTAAAGTTTCAGATTCCTCCCAAAATATGTAATTATAATTCCTCCCAAACTGTATCTGTATTCTTCCTCAAAAGCCACAAATTCTGTGTAATCATGAGAAAATATCAGACCATTGCAAATCAATTAAAAAAAAAAAAAACCCTTTATTTTGAAATCATTTTTCTTTTTTTTTGGAGACAGAGTCTCACTCTTGTTGCCCAGGCTGGAGTGCAATGGTGCGATCTCGGCTCACCACAGCCTCTGCCTCCCAGGTTTAAGCGATTGTCCTGCCTCAGACTTCTGAGTAGCTGGGATTACAGGCATGCACGACTTCGCCTGGCTAATTTTGTATTTTTAGTAGAGAAGGGGTTTCTCCGTATTGGTCAGACTGGTATCGAACTCCTGACCTCAGGTGATCCACTGATCTCAGGCTCCCAAAGTTCTCGAATTATAGGTGTGAGCCACCATGCCCAGCCATTCTTCTCTTACATAAAAGTTGTAGAGACAGTGGTGGGAGTTTTCATGTACCCTTCCCATAGTTTTCTCTGATGTTAACATCTTACATAACCATGTTAGAGTGATCAAAACCAAGAAATTAACAGTGGTACATACTATTAAATAAACTAAGCTAAAATTTTATTTGAATACCCTGTTTTCCCACTGCTGTCTTCTGGGTTCCAGGATTCAGTTCAGGATACCATTTTGTATTTAGTTAACATGTCCCCATCATGTCATTTGTTCTGTGTCCTTACTCTTCCTTTGTCTTCTTTGACACTTGTGAAGGGCTGGTCAAGTATTTTATAGAACATCCCTTGATTTGTGATTGTCTGATATTTTCTTACGATTACCCAGAACCTATGGCTTTTGAGGAAGAGTACCACAGAGGTGATCTCCCCTTCTCATGTCATGATATCTCAGGGTACATGATATCGATGTTTCTTTTTATTTATTTATTTATTTTTTTGGAGGGACGGAGTCTCACTCTGTTGCCCAGGCTGGAGTGCAGTGGCGCAATTTCGGCTCACCGCAACCTTCGCCTCCTGGGTTCACACCATTTTCCTGCCTCAGCTTCCCGAGTAGCTGGGACTACAGGTGCCCGCCACCATGCCCGTCTAATTTTTTGTATTTTTTTTTTAGTAGAAACGGGGTTTCACCATGTGAGCCAGGATGGTCTTGGTCTCCTGACCTCGTGATCTGCCTGCCTCTGCCTCCCAAAGTGCTGGGATTACAGGCATGAGCCACCGCGCCCGGCTGATGTCGATGTTTCTTATGGCTGATACTGTTAACTTTGGTCATTCGGTTAAGATAGTATCTACCTGGATTGTCCACTGTAAAACTACTGTTTCTTCATTTCAATATTATGTTAGAAAGGATTCACCAAGTTCAGCCCATATTCAAGGGGAAGGGGGAGATTAAGCTTCACCTCTTAAAGGGAGGGATATCAAAGAATTTGTGTGTGTTAAAACCACCACAGTAATTAAAAAATATTTTGTGGGAGATGCTTTGAGGCTATGAAAACAGCCTACACTTCCTTAAGCTTTTAACCATCAATTTTAGCATTCAGTGGTGGATCTTTTCTGCAGTAATTATGACTATGGTACAGTTGCCTGAGAGTGATTTTAAAAATGTTCTCATTCCTCTTTGCTTATTAGTTAGAATTATATATATATATATGTATGTTTTTAAGAGACAAGATTTTGTTGTGTTACTTCAGTCTGGTCTCAAACTCCTGGGCTCAAGTGATCTTCCTGCCTTGGCCTCCCATAGTGCTGGGATTACAGGTGTGCACCACTGTACCCAGCTCATATGAGTTAGAATTCTTCCATGAGAAAAAGTTGTCTCTTCTTACTCATTTATTTATTCATTAGTATATATCCATGTAGACTTATGGCAATTTATTTTATTCTTTGGGATCCCCCTCTTTAAAAAAATTGTCCGAAATATAACATAATTGTCAGATTGAGTTTTTTTTTTTTTTTTTTTTTGAGACGGAGTCTCGCTCTGTCGCCCAGGCTGGAGTGCAGTGGCCGGATCTCAGCTCACTGCAAGCTCCGCCTCCCGGGTTCACGCCATTCTCCTGCCTCAGCCTCCCGAGTAGCTGGGACTACAGGCGCCCGCCACCTCGCCCGGCTAGTTTTTTGTATTTTTTAGTAGAGACGGGGTTTCACTGTGTTAGCCAGGATGGTCTCGATCTCCTGACCTCGTGATCCGCCCGTCTCGGCCTCCCAAAGTGCTGGGATTACAGGCTTGAGCCACCGCGCCCGGCCAGATTGAGTTTTTTTTAAGATCAGAAGAGTTTTCTTCTAAAATTTCATTACTTATTCTTCCTGTTCTAGCTACTGATTTTCTCTTTCAGGAATTCGTATTGCGTGAAGATTGGTTCTCCTGAATGCCTCTTTGTTTGTTTTATACGGGATTTTTTTTTTTTTTTTTTTTGAGACAGAGTCTCATTCTGTCACCCAGGCTGGAGTGCTGTGGTGTGATCTCGGCTCATTGCAACCTCTGCCTCCTGGGTTCAAGTGATTCTCCTGCCTCGGCCTCTGTAGTATCCGGTATTACAGGCGTGCACCATCACACCCAGCTTTTTTTCAACCATACCCAGCTTTTTCTTTGTTTTTTTAGTAGAGATGGCGTTTCACCATGTTGGCCAGGCTGGTCTCGAACCCCTGACCTCAGGTGATCCTGCCACCTTGGCCTCTCAAAGTGCTGGGATTACAGGTGTGAGCCACCACGCCTGGCCTGTACAGGATTTTTAAAACAAAATTTTAGAATTTTAATTATAGCCATTGCGTTTCCTTTTTCTCATTCAGGGTTCTTTGTCTTATGCTTGGCTTTTTTCTTTTTTTTTTCCCAGATGTTAAAATACATATCAAAATCACCATGCAGACACCAGAGTCCTGAGACTGTCAGAGAATTTCTCACAGCAATGAAAAGCCACAAGTTGACCAAGTAAGTAAATCTCTTAAGTAGGAAGAGAGTGACATATGGTGAAATGATAGTTGCTACATTCATAGCAACCATGTATTGATATTCAGCTGGGTTTGAATTTAAAGGAGGATGATAGTATTGTAGATGAAACAACTGAAAGTTAGACATTGGGACCCTTCTAGAGTAAGGAACAAAACTTAATGGGGTTTTAAAAATCTTTTCTTGGAGTCCCAGTTTGTATGACCTATTGCATCACCCCCACTCCCAGAATTCAGACCAAATTGGATGAAAAGTAGGGTTTACAAGTTAAAGTATTAATTTTATAAAGTTGATCAATGAAGTTCTTTGATGTTTGTGTTTGCTTGAGGCAAAAGTGGCTTGATCGTATTCTGTGAGTTCTTGTAGTGTCCAGTTCCTTTTCTTGGTTTGGAATGAGTTCAACCTATTAAAATGGAAAACGTCATGTATCAGTAGTTTATAGGAGAAGAAAACTAGCCCAAATTTTTTAGATTCAGTTCCAGAACTGATAAATTTCAAAAGCTTTTGTCATTTCACTTAGGATAATCAGTAATTTTCTTTTGGAGGAACCATTTGATGTTACAGCAGGCACACAGGTGGTACCATCAGCAAACTAAATGCACTTCTCCCACTCCTTCCTCAAGAGAACTCTGAAGACAAAACAAATTCCGTGTGTGTGTGTGCAAATCTTCCATGTGTATCTTCTGTATTCATGTATAACACTTTTTAAAACCTGTAGTAAAATACACATAACATGGCTGGATGCAGTGGCTCATGCCTGTAATCCCAGCACTTTGGGAGCCCGAAGCAACTGGGTCATCTGAGGTTGGGAGTTCAAGACCAGCCTGACTAACATGGAGAAACCCCGTCTCTACTAGAAATACAAAATTAGCTGGGTGTGGTGGCACATGCCTGTAATCCCAGCTACTTGGGAAACTGGGAGGAGAATCGCTTAAACCTGAAAGGCAGAGGTTGCAGTGAGCTGAGATCGCGCTATTGCACTCCAGCCTGGGCAACAACAGTGAAACTCCATCTCAAAAAATATATAAATAAATACACTTAACAAAATTTACCATTTTAGGCCAGGTGCGGTGGCTCATAGCTATAATCCCAGTGCTTTGGGAGGCTGAGGCGGGCGGATCACTTGAGGCCAGGAGTTCAAGACCAGGCTGACCAACATGATGAAACCTCTTCTCTACTGAAAATAAAAAATTAGCCAAGCGTGGTGGCGGGTACCTCTAATCCCAGCTACTTGGGAGATTGAGGGAGGAGAATTGCTCAAACCTGGGAGGTTGCAGTGAGCCAAGATCGCGCTACTGCACTCCAGCCTGGGTGATAGAGCAAGACTCTGTCTCAAAAAAATTACCATTTTAACCATTTCTAAGTGTACCGTTCAATTGTTGCAACCAATATGCAGACCTTTTCAGTTTGCAAAACTGAAATTCTGTATCCCTTAAACGATTCCGCACTTGCTCCTCCTCCTGTCCCTGGCAGCCACCATTCTGCTTTTTGTTTCTATGAGTTTGACGCCCTCATACAAGTGGAACCATACAGTGTTTTTTTTAAAATCATACCTGAATGTTTAATTTTTAAAATCATTTTAACAATTGAAGTGTGCAATTCAGTGGCATTAAGTACATTCACATTGTACAATCACTGCCATCTATCCACAGAACATTTTATCTTGCAAAACTGAAACTCTGTGCCCAGTAATCAATAAATTCCCCGTTCTCCCTTCCTCCTAGCCCCTGGCAACCACCAATTTATTTTCTGTCTTCATGAATTTGACTACTCTAAGTATTGCATGTAAATGGAATCATACAGTATTTATCACTTAGCATAATGTCTTTGCCCGGGCGCAGTGGGTCACACCTGTAATCCCAACACTTTGAGAGGCTGAGGTGGGTGGATCACCTGAGGTCAGGAGTTCGAGACCAGCCTGCAAAATTAGCCAGGTGTGGTAGCGCATGCTTGTAATCCCAGCTACTCGGGAGGCTGGGGCAGGAGAATTGCTTGAACCCAGGAGGCAGAGGTTGCAGTGAGCTGGGATCGTGCCATTGCACTCCAGCCTGGGCAACAAGAGCAAAACTCCGTCTCAAAAACAAAAGGGCCAGGCACGGTGGCTCACGCCTGTAATCCCAGCACTTTGGGAGGCTGAGGTGGATGGATCACCTGAGGTCAGGAGTTCGAGACCAGCCTGTCCAACATAGTGAAACCCGGTCTGTACTAAAAATACAAAAAAAATTAGCTGGCTGTGGTGGCAGGCACCTTGTATCCCCACTACTCAGAGGCGAGGCAGAGAACGCTTGAACCTCGGGAAGGGAGGTTGCAGTGAGCCAAGAGGTGCCATTGCACTCCCGCCTGGGGTACAAGAGCAAGACTTCGTCTCAAAAAAAAAAAAAAAACAAAAAACAAGAAAAAAGATGTATGAGAATTTTTTTTCTTTGTAAAAGTGAATATATTCCATTTTATATGTAAATCACTTTTTTTCTTTATTTTTTTTGAGATGGAGCCTCACTCTGCTGCCCAGCGCTGGAGTGCATGCGCCATCCTCAGTCACTGCAGATCTCCCATCCCGGGTCAAGTGATTCTCCTTGCCTCAGCTCCTGAGTACGTAGATTCACAGGTAACCACCAGCCAAGCCCGGCTGATTTTTTTGTGTTTTGTAAGAGCTGGGGTTCACATGATAGTTCGGCTTTTTGGAACCTGAACCTCAAGTGATCCCATCCACCTTGCCCCCAAAGTGCTGGGATTACAGGTGTGAGCCACCGGCCTGCCACCAGTTGTTTTCTGGTTTTCTTTTTTTTTTTTTTTTTGAGACGGAGTTTTGCTCTGTAGGCCCCGGGCTGGGTGCAGTGGCCAGATCTCAGCTCACTGCAAGCTCCCGCTCCCCGGTTCACGCCATTCTCCTGCCTCAGCCCCGAGTAGCTGGGACTACAGGCGCCGCCACCATGCCGGCTAGTTTTTGATTTTAGTAGAGACGGGGTTCACCCGTGTTAGCCAGGATGGTCCTCGATCTCCCCTGACTCCACCACGTCTCGGCCTCCAAAGTGCTGGGATTACAGGCCTTAGCCACCGTGCCCGGCCTCACAGTTTGTTTTTCTAACATCCGTTGACATACACTTGCTTCCATCTTTTGGCTATTGTGAATAATGCTGTTATGAGCATGGGGGGTTCAAATATCTCTCTGAGACCCTGCTTTCAGTTCTTTGGGTACCCAGAAGTGAAATTGATACATCATATGGTAGTTTTGTTTTTAACTTTTTTGAGGAACCACCATACTATTTTTTTCTATTGGCTACAGCATTTTACATTCCTATCAGCAGTGCACCAGAGTTGCAACTTCTCCACATCCCTGCCAATTTATTTCCTTCCTTCTTCCCTCCCTCCCTCTAGCATCTATGAAATGTGAAGCAGTCTCTCATTCTGGTTTTATTTTGCATTTCTGTAATGATAAGTGATGCCAAGCATGGTTTTATGTGCTTATTAGCTATTTGTATGTCTTCTTTGAAGAATATCTATCCCAGTCATTTTCTCTCTCTCTTTTTTTTTTTGGTGAGACAGGGTCCCAGTCTGATGCCTAGGTTGAAGTGCAGTAGTGCTGTCTTGGCTCACTGCAGCCTCGACCTTCCCAGATGCAGGTGAGCCTCCCAAGTAGCTGGGATTACAGGCATGCCACCACCATGCCCACTTAATTTTTGTATTTTTTGTAGAGTCAGGGTTTCTTTGTGTTACCCGGGTGGCCTCAAACTCCTGGGTTGCCTGCCTCAGCTTTCCAAAGGGATTACAGGTGTGAGCCACCACACCTCATCCTTTTCCCGTATTCGAATGAGGTTTTTTTGTTCGGTTTTAGGAATTTTATATATATTCTGGATATTAATCCTTTGGTAGATATATGATTTGCAAATATTTTCTCCCATTCTGTGGGTTGTCTTTTTACTCTGTTGGTGAGTCCTGTGATGCACAAAGTTTTTAAATGAAGTCCAGTTTGTCTCTTTTCTTTTGTTACCTGTGCATTTGGTATCAGAGATCCAAGAAATCATTATCAAATTCAATGTCATGCCCTGGCACAGTGGCTCACGCCCATAATCCCAGCACTTTGGGAGGCTGAGGCACGGATCACCTGAGGTCCAGACCAGCATGGCCAACATGGAGGAACCTCGTTTCTACTAAAAATAGAAAAATTAGGCCGGGCACGGTGGCTCACACCTGTGATCCCAGCACTTTGGGAGGCCGAGACGGGTGGATCACGAGGTCAGGAGATTGAGACCATCCTGGCTAACACGGTGAAACCCCGTCTCTACTAAAAAATACAAAAAAACTAGCCGGGCGAGGTGGCGGGCACCTGTAGTCCCAGCTACTGGGGAGGCTGAGGCAGGAGAATGGCGTGAACCCGGGAGGCAGAGCTTGCAGTGAGCTGAGATCTGGCCACTGCACTCCAGCCTGGGCGACAGAGTGAGACTCCGTCTCAAAAAAAAAATAAATAAAATAAAATAAAATAAAATAAAAAATTAGCCAGGCATGGTGGCGGGCCCCTGGCGTCCCAACTGCTTGGGAGGCTGAGGCAGGAGAATGGCGTGAACCCGGGAGGCGGAGCTCGCAGTGAGCTGAGATCGCACCACTGCACTGGACTCCATCTCAAAAAAAAAAAAAAAGTTAGCCAGGTGTGGTAGCACATGCCTGTAGTTCCAGCTACTCGGGAGACTGAGGCAGGAGAAGTGCTTGAACCCGGGAGGCGGAGGTTGCAGTGAACCAAGATTGTGACACTGCACTCCAGCCTAGGCAACTGAATGAGACTGTCTCAAAAAAAAAAAAATTTCAGTGTCATGAAGCTTTTTCCTTATGCTTTCTTCTAAGAGCTTTATAGTTTTAGTCTTATGTTTAAGTCTTTGATCCTTTGTGTAAAATTTTTAAAAATTTTTTTAAATTAAAAAATTTTAGGTTGGCACAGTGGCTCATGCCTGTAATCCCAGCACTTTGAGAGGTGGAGGTGGGCAGATTAC